TTTCTTTGTCCACCTGCACCCTTTTGTCCTCTTCTTTGTCCTCCTCACCCTGACACTCTATCCTGGCTGCGTTATTGTCTCCTCAAATGCCTGAACTGAATAAACCCTCATTGTATTGGTCTACACATTGTTGTAAAAAAATGGAGTTGTGTAAAGAGAATGACTTGTAGCAGGGGCCTGAGACAAGTTTCTTCTGAGTGAAGCAAAGGCACTGGTGGCCTGCTGTCACCCAGAAACTCTATGTGTTGGGTTTTGACCTGGAAGCAGGCCCTGGCTGTATCAAGTTTATTTACATGTAGAGGTGCAGCATGGCAATGAGAATGTGGGAAGGGCAGGTGGGGAAATTCGTGGGATGGTGACTGTGATCTGATGCCACATTAGAAAATCCGGACTTGGCTTTGGGTTTCTCAGTCCAACCAGGGGGCCATTCTGGGTTCAAGCGGTCATTGTTTGTGTCTGGTTTCCGTTTCAGTGAAAAGGTGTGACATTGTTCCCCATTCCTTCATCTCTCTCTCTTTCTCTCTCTCTCTCTCTCTCTCTCTCTCTCTCTTTTGGCTGAAATACGCTAAGAAGAACAATAATGCGCTGTTCCAATGCAGTGCGCTATTGTGTTTATGACTGGAATTCATTGAGAATCCTAGCACACTTGAGGCATGTGGAATAAACTATTGCAATTTATTCTCATAGTGAAGTTGAGAGGGAAGGAAACTGAGAAGAGGATGATGGGAAAGGAAGGGACAGGGGTGGAGACCAGTTTGTCTGTCCTTCTCAGCATCAGAGAGCAACCCAGGAATCTGCCAGGCCTACCAGCACTGCTGTGCCTGTGCCTCCAACCAGTGTGGGGAGCCAGCACATGCTCCTGCAGGGGAGACAGACTCCCTCCTGCCCCTTGTCTTACATGCCTCCAAGCCTTCTCAGCCTGATTCTCCTTGTTTCTCAGGAAACAAGAGCTTGAGAAGGAGGTGGCAATGCATCTCTAGTTATTTCACATGTCGTGGGTCCCTGCTGGAGCCTAAGTCCACCTGAAGATCTCCTCCCATTCCTTAATTTCCTGGTGGGAGCTGCTCAGATGGTCCAAATAGAACAGTTTTTTAAGAATAAAAGATGCGATCCAGTTCCTTTTCATTTTCACTCAGACAGAGGTCATTTGGTGAGAAACTTTGTGCTATGGGTCGGGAATGCAAAGATGAAGAAGAGGTGATCCTAGCAGAGTGAGTCATAGTCTGCCTGAGAAAAGACACAAATGTGCAGCTGACATCCCATGATAAAGATGTGATATATGGCAGGGAATATGGAATATTTTTTTCTGGGCTGTGGAGGGACCTCACAAAAGAGGTGTTGATGGTTAAATGCTTTTGTTTGTTCTGTCTTCCCCCCACATACATACCCCATATAGAATGGCTTTTATAGGGAGAAATGTTTATAGGGAGAAGCATCTCAATATTTTTTTGTTGGGTTTGTGGGAATGAGACATAATTCCTTGAGTGGGTATCTCAACTATTTACCATCTGTGAGTGAACATTCTTGTAAGAATAATAAAATTAATTTCACCTGGCTCTGGCTGGTTTGGCTCTGTGGATAGAGTATCAGCCTGAGGACTAAAGGTCCTAGGTTTGACTCAGGTCAAGGACACAGGCCTGGGTTGTGTTCTTGATTCCAGCAGGGGGCACGTGTAGGAGGCAACCATCTCTCTCATCATTGATGTTTCTATCTCTCTCTAATCCCTTCCTCCCTGAAATCAATAAAAATAAATTAAAAAAATTTTTTTAAAGTGTTCATAAAGTTTTTGGATTTTAATGGCTACCATTGTAACCACTATGGTCATATACTGGTACATGATTATTGTTAATAAGGTTTAATTGAATTATCATCATGAAATTAAATTATCCTCTTGTTATGTTAGGTCAGTGTCATTGAAAACTTTTACAGTATAGATGAAATTATAAATTTCAGAATTAGTAAGAATTTTAAACATATTTATTTAAAGTGAGAATATCCTTAATTACATACCAGAAGGATGATTCTCTCTACACCTTCCAAGAGCTAGCTACCTCACAAGGTTGCTTACTTCACTGATGTACATGTAGATGTGCATCTAATAATTAAATATTTTCTATCTACATTGAAAATCAATGTGTTACTACCAGGTCTTCCCACAGTTCCGAGTCTCCACATAGAATAGTGCTTTTCCAGTTTCCGCCAGCCCTTCAGGCATTTGGAGACCATACTCTATCTCTGCTGCTCTTTGACTGCAAACCC